GAACAATCTACCAGAGCAAATAACTTTGTACTCCTCTGTACTTTCTTTCAAAAATAGACTAGACTCCTGGTTGTGGAAAAAGTTTGGAACAAATATTTATAAAACTGGTTGTTTATAGTGGGGTGTTTCCCCTGCTCGCTGTATGTGTACATTCTATGTAAATTTACGGCTACAACTATAATAATAATATATATATATATATATATATATATATATATATATATATATGTATATATATATATATATATATATATATATATATATATATATATATATATATATATATATATATATATATATATATATATATATATATATATATATATATATATATATATATATATATATATATATATATATATATATATATATATATATATATATATATATATATATATATATATATATATATATATATATATATATATATATATATATATATATATATATATATATATATATATATATATATATATATATATATATATAGGAAAGCGCCGACATGGCGCAAAATGGGTTTTCGTATAACAACTCAACAAAAAATCTTAAAATTGGGTGAAAAAAAAACTGTATTTGCATCTTGTATTTTAAAACACCAATTGGTTTTTTTTTAAATATTATTAACGCAATTTTATACGCATAAGTTTACTTTTTGCGCTTAAAAAAAAAATTCTGAAAAAAAGTTTTGAAACAAACTTTATGGATGTATCACACATTCCTATTGTAGTTTAGACAAGATAAAGTTATGTTAGTATATATTATATTTACTTGTATAATTTATATTGACAAAATAAAGTACTAATAAATTATAAATATTTGTATATTTGTCTACCTAATATACAATCATGTTTTTCAAGCTTGTATAACCAATTATTGTTACTACAGAATAAAATAGTAACAATCATTGGTTATAAAAAGTTTAGATTTTATCTCAACCATACCAAGGAATATGTATGCACTGAAACCAATAAATATTTATCATCTTTGAAACGTCTTTTTTAACTGTAGGTTTATCTATTTATCTATCTTATATCTGTATATCTATCAATCTATTTATCGTATATCTATATATCTATCTATAGCTATGTATATATATATATATATATATATATATATATATATATATATATATATATATATATATATAATATATTATTATATATTTTTATTTTTATTTTACAACAACCATTATTATATATCTCAAAAACAAATAACATTTACATGTCTCCAGTTTATATAAATGTCCACCACAAATATTTACAATATATAAAGAGCGTTAACAGGTTACAATATGTAAAAAACGTTAACTGTTTTACGCATGCGCGTTTGAAATCGAGTTAAAATAATAAACTTAAAAATTCGTAGTTTATAATATAAAGTGCTGGCTATTAAACTTTTTTATGGGATTCGAAAGATTTGTTTATATATATACATATATATATATATATATATATATATATATATATATATATATATATATATATATATATGCAGTATATATAAAAGACCATATATCTTAGTAAGAGTTATCATAGAGCCAGTGCCAGATCAAGGGGGGCTAGGGAGGGCTATAGCCCCGGGGCCCCTAAAAAATTTAGAGGAACTTTTTTTTTTTTTTTTAGGCTTAGACCCATAAAAAGACCTCAAAAAACAAAAATAGCCCCGGGCCCCAAGAAGTCCTAATCCACCACTGCATAGAACTAATGAATGTATATTTTACTTATAAAAAGTTTTTTTTCAGTTGTATAAATTCGTAGATAAACTTAAAAATACGCCATATTTAAGTAAATTGCACATGCGCATTGCGCCGTTTTTGGCTTGCAAAAAACGTTTTTTAAAGGTCTCGTAAAATACTAAATTAAATGATAGAAAAAAACCTAGTAAAATGTTTTTTGAACGTTTTTTGAACGCTTTACTTATACAAACGTCCTTTGAGCGACCATAAAACGTTTACAAAACGTTTGCAAAACGTACTTTTGTTTTTCTAATTACATATTGCAATTTCTTAATTACATATTGGCTTTCTAATACATTTCAAAATTTCCTAATTATTTATTGTGTATCCTAATTACATATTTCGACTTCTACACTACATGCTGTATTTCTCAATTACATCTTACTTTCCTTAATTCCAACTTTCAAGTTCTCAATTACATCTTGAAAAGGTGTAGTTAGATACGTAAAATTTTTCCGTTTTATGTTTCATAGGAGCAGAGGATTCTAATATAATTGACATTATCAAACGAGGATATAACATTGAGCATTGTACCAAAAAACGTTAAAAAAAGTTGTTGCTCTTCTTTACTTAAATTCAAATCTTAATTACATGACTCGTTGCGATCTCCTAATCTGTTTTTGTTGAAGTTATAAATCCACTGAAGAGTAATAACATTTTTGGATGCATATATCGACATCCCTTTTTGAATCATTCTAATTTTCTCTTTGAATTAAATCATGAAAAAAAAGTATTGTGCTAATAGAAGATTTATTGAGTTATTGAGGATCACAAGTCGTTTCTAATTATTTTTAAACTTTTTTAAAGAGGAAAAAAGAAAAAAGGAAAAGAAAACATTTATAAATTAAACGAATGATAAAATCAACTAAAAAGAAGAATAAAATCAACTAAAAAGAAGAATAAAATCAACTAAAAAGAAGAATAAATAAATATTTTAAACCAAGAAAAGAAAAAGAATTATCTGAAAGAAAATAAGTAAAGAGGTATAGAAAATAGAAGATAAGAAAAAAGTTAATGAATTAAATAAATGGAAAGAATGGAAAGAAAGAAAAAAAAAACAACTTATTAGAGCTGTACCGGATTTTGGCTCCGGCTCCGGCCGAAATCCGGCCATTTTTACATATCCGGCCCAGATCCGACTCCGGCAAAAAGTTAGCAAATTCGGCAAAATTTTAGTTGGATTTCTGAATTTTGGTCAGACATTTATTACATTTTTTTTGCCCGTGTTTACACATATACTTGATATCTTATTCAAATCAAAGTTCTTTGCAATTCTATATTCTATGAACCTCTTGTTTATAATGATATCTGTATTTACATTTTATTACAATTTAATTAGTTAAGCCTAATTTCGAATAACAACTCAACAAAAAATTCTGAAGGGAAAACACACGATATTCTTAAGTTAAGAAACACGATAGAGTCTGAAGTGAAGACACAAACTTGGTTAAATATACATTCAATAAAGTTACAGTGCAGAAGGTATCGATGCAAGATGGGAGTCAATCTGAGCATGCTAAGCAGCAGATTGACAAAATTGAAAAAATTTTAGCAAAGCAAGCTCGGCTGGGTAATTCTTCTACATGATCATCATTATTTGAATTTAACACCAAGTGAAATTAAAATTTTCAAGACTAGTTTCGCTGGTAGCACAGCACATAAACAACAATTATTCTACCGTGTATTATTATAACTTTTTTTTTCTTTATTTATTATTTTTAATTTATGTTTGTTGTTTTCTTGTTGCTGTTGAAGTTGATTTTTGTTTTTATTGCCAAAAGAACTTAACGTAACCCAGTGGACACAGACGTAAAAAAGACGTCTATTAAACGTCTTATACACGTTTTAGACGTCTTTTTAACGTCTTTTGAACGTTTTGGATGCCTTTTAAACATTCAAAAATCGTCTTTTTTTGGTCCAGTGCCCACTGGGAATATTTTGTTTTGCTTGTAATATTTGTCTCGTTTTGATTTTCTCACTGTTTTTCTGTTTATATATTATTTATTTACTTTGTCTCATAATTTGCAATATATTTCGGTTATTATATTATAAGAAAAATATATTTACTAAATCTTTTAAATTTTTTATAGCAGTGGTTGTTTTTATGTTATTGTTAGTTGTTACGTTTTGTCAGTTTATTACTGTTTGTAACTGTAATTTTGTATGTAAAAACGATTGTTGTATGGAAAATTATACCGATTTATTTTAATTATTTTAATTACTATATATTTTATTACTATTGTTAAAATAACATGTTATTATTATTATTATTATTTATTATTATCATAAATATTATCTTTACTATTATTGCTATTACTATTTTAATTATTATCATTAGGTGTTTACGTAGTGTTAGTAGTTTATACTATTTGTAAACAACCTTGAAATGTAATACCAAATATTTCAGAAATATATATTGATTGATATTGATTGATTATCACTTTGCGGATGACACCAACTTGATCCTAGTTAACAAGTCACTTAAAAAACTTACTAAGTCTTAAAATCAGTTATGCTTTATATTATATATATGTATATATATATATAATATAAAGCATATAACTTATAAAGCATATAAGTCACTTAAAATCAGTTATGCTTTATATTATACATATATGTATATATATATATATATATATATATATATATATATATATATATATATATATATATATATATATATATATACATATATATTGCTGGATTTGCCAGATAGTGAACTTTTCTAAAGTTCTATGAGTGTTTATGAAGAAAAAACAAATCTTACCAGTCTGCAACAAATAGTATTCCAGATCTAACTTTAAAAAATTAGTCAAAAACTGTATGACATGGTATATGTGTTGACGAAGTAAGACTTTTACATTATTAACGCATATACATGTGTTATACGAGTTTTTTATTGATTTTATTTTTTCAAATTTTGAACACTATTTAATGTAGAATGGCAAAACTTGTTTTTACTTCATAAACATTTATAGGACTTGAGAAAAGTTCACTATCCGACATATCCAGCAAAAATATCCGGTATACCACTAATATTAATATTGAGCATATATTATTGTTAACATCACCCTTTTGTAGGATGATGAATATACATTACATTTTTAGAATACACATGTATGTATTTTAAATTATAATTTCAACTATTAAATTTTATAATTAACAGAGTATGTAATAAAATTTAAGGTTAAGTAAATTAATAATTATAAATTTGAAGTTAGACAAATTAAAAAATTAATGCCAAATTAAATATATTTTAATATAGGCTGTTGAACAATGTGTTGCCTACAACAGTTTTGAGCTTTATTTTTCTTCGTGAACTTTGTTTAACCGAAAAAATAAATTTCAAGGATGCAAATTTTAAAGAATGGGTCATCAGCGAAAATTGCAACGGCGCTTGGTATTTTGACGGCCAAAAATTAATTGCAACAAAACTAACTACTAATGAAAGTTGTGTATTAGAAAGCCCTTATTGGACGAACAATGAAAATGTTAGTAGACTCATAATTGAAATAACTTTATTAACTCGTAAACGTAATTTTGTTAATCAGACATACAATGATTATTTATCATTACAGTTGTATAAAGGAGACAAAGAAAATACAAATAAGCTTTATAAAAACATCTCTTTTTTGCCTGGAAATATAAGTAACGAAGATATATTCACTACCACCGACGTAATAACAGTAAATAGTATAGGAAGTCATAATGGCTTTCAATTTCGATTTCTTAGAGAAAATTATGAAGGACAAATCGAGTCATTTTTAGTTCAATATGAAAGATGTCCAACGGTCAGTGAAGAACTCGTTAACTTTAAATCTCAACCTGCTCCTGATATTGACGAGCATGAGCGTAAAATCATAGGCATATGTGAAGAAAAAGCTGAAAATTTTTTGAATAATACAATTCCCTACATGACTTGCAAATACGATGGAAGTTATACTATTCAAGGAAAATGTGTATGTACAAAAGGCTACACTAAAGAAAACATAGGATGCAAAGGTAATATTTTTAAAAGGTGTGAATGAGATAACCATAGCGACATAAACCACTAATGTAAAATAGGATTCATTAATTTACATTCATTCAAAAATTTTGAACAACTCTTATTTAACCCGCTATCCTTCTCGCATACCTTTTATCTTTATAACTAATAATGAATAATTATATAGTTTAATATTAAAACGTCCCACAAAAAAATCATTAATCATTTATGATTTAACTGTTAGTTAAGATTAATAAAGATAAATTAAAACACTTAAAAATATTTATCAAACACTAAAAAATCCAATTTTCAGAAATTATTTTTAAAATAAATTTTTCTGTTAAGATGTCATAAATTTGTACAAATGTATGAGAGTATATAAAGTCTATTTTTTTTATAGTTTTGAGTAATGTTGAACTACGAAAAAAAACTTTTTGGTTGAATATGAACAAATAAGAAAATTTACTCATTAAATATTTTGCGCGCTGCTGCACTATTTCCAGTGTTTTAATGTCATGCTTTAGAACAGCTTGAGCTGCAAACTTTTTTTTTTTTTTTTAATGTTGATTTTAGGTGCCCTAAGAAGTCCTTACGGTCTTACACAGAGCACCGCGGAAGAGCATTTAATAGGAAGTTCGCGCCTCCTTCCCAACCGATGTCGCAAAACTTGCCCAGAGGCGGGGTTTAAACCACGGATCTTACGTTTCTGAGGCAAGTGTGCTACCACTGCGCCACGGTAGCTTAAACTTGAGATGCTGGCGTATAAAAGCCTTATACGATAATAATAACTTTATACTTTATCAAATGTTTTAGCGAAATCCATATAAATTAAGTTGGCAGCATAGCCTAGATTAATAGTTTGTGTCAGGATGATACGCGTTTCCATGAGAATGATTGCAGGCTTGTTTGAATACAAAACCGTGCTGGCCCAAGAAAAATAGATCTATAGTATTTCTATAAACTTTAGAAGCAAATGGCCTATAGAAATTCTATAGAATTTCTATAAAATTTCTATAGAATGTCTATAGAAATTGCTGTTAAAGATTTTTTTTCTATAGAAAAAAAAGTAGAAAAAAAAATCTATAGAAATTTCTATAGAAATTAACCGAGGCTCTATACAAACTCTATAGAATTCCATAGAATTTCTACAGGCTATATGTTTTAAAAGTTTATAGAAATTCTATAAATTTTTTTTCCTAGAGAATTTTTGAAAATAATTAGTTAACGACACAATGAGACAGTTTTGGATTTTGCAGACGATTGAGGTTAGTGATACAAATCTGTAGTTTGAAGCCTCAATTTTGCTGCCTTTCTAAAAAGTTGACATTATATTTGGATTGTCTCCATTTTTTTTTTAAATATTTGAATTTTACTCATAGTTCTAAAATTTGAATCAATTTTGGTACCATACTTAGTTAGATGATTTTTGTGCACCTAAGGAGTATTTTAAAACAAAAGTCAATTTTGCCAAAAATCGATTTAAGATTTGCTTTGCAGCGGCGATATACATACTATATAAATCCTCCATGTTTTAATATATTTTGAGATTATACTCTCACATTGATGACATAATATCAAATTGATTTTGCAGAAAAAATGGACACACCGATTATAAATATACTCTTGAATAAAAATTAATTATTAAAAAACTAAAAATCTATATGTGAAAAACTTTTTAAACTAAAAATTTTGTAAAAAACCAACATTTTCAAAAATAATTTTAAAAAATGATGAAATATAAGTAATCTAATTAGTAAATATAATAAAAGGTTAACTATTTTTTGGTGCTATGAACAATATTTTAAATTGGCTTGTAGTTCGTAGTTCTTTTAACCTCGTTGGAGGAAGGTAAGTCATCAGTAGAGCCTGTCAATACCTAAAAAGCAAAAATAAAATAATACCACTGTCCTAACAATTTATCATACATGTTCTATTTTCATTCAACTTCATAAATTCTTTATCACACACTGTAATTTGCATACCTTGTTGAACAGCCTAACCTTAGATTTGTTGTGATTTAAATAGCTAACCGTAAACTTAACTTAATCTTAAACCAATAGAATAACTTAATCTTAAGCCAATTGAACTACTAATTACATTTATTACCTTAATTTATTTAAAATAAATAAAAAGCATAAAATTAAGAAAAGGTGTCATCTTATTGATATTTTTATAACAGATAATATTTATCAAAACTAATGAAAAGAAATTATTTTTATATTTTGAATATGCTATCATTTTCATGAAGGTTATGTAAAAATATTTTAAAATGATATTAAAAAAATCCAAGTCTCTTTTTTTTGATATTTGCCAGCACAAATATTTTAACAAATAGGTTATAAAAATGAGTAGCTTTGCAAGCCATAATGCTTGCAATTCCAATTTTGCAAGTCATTATATTTGTGATATCTATTTTGAAATTCAAAATACTTGCTTGGATCATGACTTTACTTAGATAACCTTAACCTAAACATCAAGGTTTATAATAACCTTTTATAATAATCTGGTGCCTTGCATCAGATATATACGTTGGGATACAGTGGATCGAGGGGCACAGTAAATAAGAGGCATTTTCTCAGAGATTAGAATTTTTTTCATCTTAGCAATGTAATCATTTTATATGCTCATATATCAGCCGTCTTTGATTATAGCTGTTACCACAAAATATTTGACTACCAATTTTTAGGAGGAAATTTTTGTTTTAGCTATTTAAAGTAAATTTTCTTACTTTCCTTATGCTTGTTATGAAAATCATGGTTGAAATAATTTTTAAAGTTGAAGTTTTTCTTTCAGATTATTGATATTTATGCTTTCTTTTAGTAGTTTTTTCTTTTTAGTAGTTTTTTTTTCTTTTAACTACACTCATATTTTAATAAATTAGACTTAAACTTAATTTGTTATGGAGGGGCACAGTAATTCGAGGTACTATGAATAGGTTGATTCACTATAGCCAATTAATGATCTTGAAAATTAAACTCATGCATTTTTAACAAAAAAATTATATGAAAATAAATTTATTAGTTTAAGTTATGAATAATAATATTTGAATGATTTTTTAATTTTTTAATACTTTTATAAGTTTTGTTATCAATAAAATTCTTTTTTTTCTTCTCAATTTTTAAAACGTCTATTTTTTTAATAGACGTTTTAAAAATTGAGGGTTAAGACACTCAACCAAAACTTTAGTGTACAGTGTCTTAACCCTCATATTTAGTTGGCTATGCCCATATTTATTAAAACTATTTCACAGTTGTGCTCATTGATTCAGCCTCAGTACTGAGGCACAGTGAATAACGCAACACAACTCACTCTAAACCTTTCTGTGAGCCGTTAGATAATAAATATTTGGGTTTTAGTAATTTATTATCATAAAGGACATATATCTCAATCCTTTCGTCTTAAAAAAAAAATACATATTTTAACTTTTGCTTAATTTAAAAATAAAAGAAATCCGATCCACTGTACTCCAACTTCCGTTATATCTGATACCTTGTATCAGATGTTAACCAACATTGAAAAAAATAAAACTACATGATGCTTTTGCTTTTTAAAATACAACATATAAATGGATATTAATGGATATAATTGAGAGAAACACAGTTTTTTAAGATACACCAACATATGTATAAAAAACTTTTTTTAAGATGTATACACCAACTTATGTATAAAAAACTAAAGCATTAAAATCTGTAAAAATAGAAACTTCTGTTAACACATCAGTTCATTACCAATATAAACATTCAAACAGTCTGTTTAAATATACTAATTATAATTCCTGAAATATTTTTTTGTAGCTTTTTTGTAGTCTTTCAATAATAAATCTAATAAAACTCAATTATAAAAATGTTTATCAATTTAATAATAACTTAATAATAAGTTAATAATATGTAACGAATGTAATGTTTTTGTCTTCTTATTTATTATGAAGAGAATTCAACATTGTTTTTGTTTAATACTTATTTCAATATTTGTATATTAAATTATTACAACTAGCTTAAATATAAAACTATGTGTAGTTTCGTTTCGAAACTCTAACTGTCATTAAGTTCAGCGCAAAGGCTTTTAAGCGAGAACTCTTCATGCGGAATTCTCTCAAGGGAATTCTTTCGTAATCAGTTTTCGTGCAATTCGCAAAAGAGAATTGCTTGTTTTGCAATTGCTGATTGCTATTCTGAATTAGCGTTATAAACGATTGTCCAGAGGGAAAAACAATCATTACACCTTCCTTTTTTTTTAAGCGCATTTCGAAATCAATGTAATGGTCTGATTATTTATCTTGATTTGTATTTAGATCAATGTTTGTGTTGTTTGGCAGTTTTTTTTTTACCCATGAATATGTCTATTGATTCATTCATATCTCTTTGATTATCGGATAAATTGACATCCCAATCTACTTCGTCTTTTATTTTTAGTAGATGTCTTCTGTTTCTTCTAAAAATATTTCCATTTCAGGTTTTTACATTAAAACTTCGTTGCTGTTTGCTCTCAACAACTTTTCCTGGTTGCCATTTATTTCCATCATTTGTACAAACAGTCTCTATCGCTCACGTTTTCCGATGTTTTCGCATTTTTGTCATAATATTTCTTCTGTAAGTTTTGAACTTTTTCACGACTCATCTTAAATTTATTTACGTTGATTGGATTTACTTGAAGTAGTGACAGAGAAGTAGGAAGTGTTGATCTCAATTTTCTTCCACTGATGAGCTGAGCAGGTGATGCAAGACCGTCAACAGGAGTGTTTTTCACCCCCAGCAGAGGTATGTACAAGATCTTGGTCAGCAAGTTTCTTGCTATTTGCATATGCCTCCCAGCCATTCCACTTAATTGATGATACTGAGAGCTACTAGTTATATGTTTAAACTCCCACTCTTAACTGAATTTTTGGAATTCTGAAGATGTGAATTGTGTGCCGTTGTAACTCAGTACTATCTGAGGTATACCAAGTCTGGAGAAGATCATCTTTAGTTTCTTTATCACGGTTTGAGATTGAATATTATGTAACATTTTCGATTTCTTA